GGGGGGGGGGGCGGGGGCCCCGGGTGCCGCTGGGCGGCCCCCCCCCCGCCGACCCCGGCGGCCGTGGGGATGTCACCTACAGCGTCACCTGCGAGCAGTGTTGGCCGGAGAGCGGGGAGTGCCGTCCCTGCGACGGGGGGGTCCGCTATTCGCAGCCCCCCCGGGGGCTGACGGGGACGGGGGTCACCGTCACTGACCTGGAGCCACACGTCAACTACACCTTCACCGTCGAAGCCCGGAACGGGGTGTCACCCTACAGCCACCACCGTAGCGTGGCCACCGCCACCATCAGCGTCAACCAGACAGGTGAGGGGCCACCAGCATCTCCCACACCTTCCCTCCACCATGGGGACACCTCCATGATGTCCCTGTTCCCCATGGGGACACCTCCATGACTACCCTGTCCCCATGGCAGAGCCACCCCGGGTGACATCGGTGAGCCTGGATGGACGGACGGCCACCAGCTTGGTCCTCTCCTGGACGGTGCCACCACGGCAGCAGAGTCGGGTCTGGAAGTACGAGGTCACCTACAGCAAGAAGGTCCGTCCCGTGTCATGGCTTCAGCCCACCACCCCCAAATCCATCACCCCATCCATGTCCTCACCCCATCCACGTCACCTCCATCCACGTCGCCTCCATCCACGTCACCTCCATCCACGTCGCCTCCATCCACGTCACCTCCATCCTTGCCCCCACCCATGTCACCTCCACTCATCTCGCCTCCGTCCATGTCACCTCCGCTCATCTTGCCTCCATCCATGTCACCCCTCCATCCACGTCACCTCCATCCTTGCCCCCACCCACGTCATCTCCACTCTTCACCCCTCCATCCACCTCACCCCTCCATCCACCTCACCCCTCCATCCACATCACACCTCCATCCATGTCACCTCCATCCACGTCACCTCTATCCATGTCACCTCCATCCTTGCCCCCACCCATGTCACCTCCACTCATGTCACCCCTCCATCAACATCTTCTCCATCCACGTCACCTCCGTCCGTGTCACCTCCGTCCGTGTCCCCCCCGTCCGTGTCACCTCCATCCGTGTCACCCCTCCATCTGTGTCATCTCCATCCTTGCCCCCACCCATGTCACTCCCCGTCATGTCTCCAGGTGGATGAGAACAGCTACTCGGTCCTGCGCTGCGAGGGCACCTCTGTCACCATCCCCAAGTTGTCCCCTGCCACCGCCTACGTGGTGCGGGTCCAGGCGCTCACCCAGGATGGCCACGGCGCCTACAGCCCCCAGCACGAGTTCGAGACCCTGCCCGAGGGTGAGGACCAAGGGGGGAGCTGAATTTTGGGGTGGGGGATCCAGAGTGTGCATGGTGACCCCCACCCCCCCCCCCCCCAAACTCATC